TTTACATTGATGATCACTGCATTATATCGTTGTGTGCACCCGTAGACAACAAATGTTTCCTCAAGAATTGGTCCCCATTCACACTTGGGCGTAAGCATTTTCAGATTGGTTCGATGCATTTAGTTTTGCGCTTGTTTTTCAAGATTGAGCATATTTGTTTTAGTCCCTGGAAAGCTAGTTACAAGGAGGCAAACCCATTAGTTGCCGAATCACATAAAAAACGTGTGCAATGCTTTGTTTTCGTGCATTTTTCAGATGCTCCTATTAAAGTCTGTGGGGTTCTACCAGAAAATAAGCTCATGTAATTTCTCACTTCAATCGACATGTAACAGAAGACTCGGGTGTAACAGGAACTATTGAAAATAATGGGATTCTTCATGTTCAGCATTATCATACTTTAGGAAATGCACAAGGACATTTATGAGCTGAGTGATTTCCACGCATCCCCATAGTTAGAGCCGACATGTGACATTGAAATTGTCACGTGTCTCTATTGATCGGAAAGTGAGCGAAAACATACTGCCGCTCACTCACTGACTTCCGGATCATCTCCCTGCAGAGAGCGGCACTGCTGTTGTAACAAGGTGGAGTGCGTGTTGGACCGATGTGTGACACACAGCACATCGGTCTTTTTTCTTTTGCATATTGCCAGACATAGGTGTTTCCAGCTGAGGGAGCCTTTTGTGTAAAAAAAAAAAAAAACTTCCTAGATTTATTTTTTTACACACTTTTACTGCCATTTCTCCTGGACTTCTTTGCAACGACAGCACAGTTCTCTAGCGTGAACTGCCACAATAGGTTACAGGTGAAACTCAAATAATTAGAATATCGTGCAAAAGTAATTGCAGTAAGTGCTGCAAAAGGGGCCCAAACCAAGTACATATGCATGATTGTACTTTTCAGAGGTCCGATATTGTTCTATGTACAATCCTTGTTTTATTGATTGCATGTAATATTCTACTTTTTTGAGGTTGTGGATTTGGGGTTCTTGGGGTTTGCATGAGCTGTAAGCCATAATCATCACAATTATGACAAATCACGGCTTGAACTATCTTGCTTTGCATGTAATGAGTCTATCTCATATATTAGTTTCACCTTTTAAGCATTAGTGAAATAAATGAACTTTGCACGATATTCTAATTATTCGAGTTTCACCTGTATAGTGGGAATCCTCTTGTTCATTGCTATAGTGCTTCTAGAAAAGCACTTCAGATCGCTCAGATGTGAACCAGGGCTTAGGCATTAAAGTGCAGAAGTGCTAATGTTTCCTAAAATTATTATATATTGTGCACCTGTGTATCTACATACACAAGTGTTTTGAGTCTATATAAACACACCAACAATTTTTAGACTTCTTTCTTTAGGAAGTTCCTGGCTAACTGCATGGAGTGCATTTATTGTATTCTCCAGGCAGTTAAATTATTAATTTAAGAATGCATTAAAAAGACCCATCTTCAGCAACCATCTACAAAGCGGCTTGACAGTTAGTGATCTTTTCCAGAGCTCTGCCAGCATCAGACATCTTATGTATATTGTGAGTAAATGGAAGCCTCAAACATTACATCCTTGGGTAAGGCCTAGTTAGATGTGAACTGGCTGCTTTAACCTCACAGAGAAAATCTGAACACCCAGCTATTCAGAGAGAGTCTATGTTTGAATGTCAAGAGATATTTAATTATCGCTGGTAGATGTAGTGCAAATAATTATTTTAGCTGCAGTTTCCAGCAAGATCATGTATGGTGATAAATAGTACTGCCCGTGGCCTTGATTTGATGTTTGTAGCAGCACAATAACTGTGTATGAAAAATATGCTTTTCTAAATGCAGAATATTGAATAAAGCTCTGTTTTGGGAAACCCATCCTTTTAGTTACAAACATTAGCCACAAAATTCCATGCGACCAACTGCAAAATGTGGCCAGTTTGACTGATTCTAACGTCCTCTCTCTAGATTACATTTCCCATTCAGAGCAGACTGCCAGATAAAGGAGATCAGTATGTTTTACTGACCTACTTTGTGTTCAATCTGCCAGATGCTGGTGCTGTTATTTTCTGTTGACCATTTTATTTGCAAGCTATAGTATGTTGTTTTTCCTGTATGAAGAACAGTTATGAACAGTTGGCCAAGTAGTTTTCCGTTTTAAATGTTATGTTGCTAAAGTGTACACGTATAGGCAAATACCTGTTTTCTGCCAGCAATCCAGTGTGCTCCTGAATTTCCTGTTTGAGTTGACAACCCAATGGCTCTGCTATGCTGAAATCCCAAGTATTGTCGGCAGCCCTGTCCGGTTCTTCTTCTTTTTTTTTTTTTTTTTTTTTTTTATCTATACAAATACACACATAAGGTAGGCGGTGTTTGTGGGGACATTTTAGCAAGGCTGATGACTTTGCTTGGGATGTCAGTGTAGCAGAGTTCACAGGAAGTTAGCAGTTCACTGGATTACGGACAGGGTCACATATATTTTTCTTGTTCATTAAGATACAGGAATTCAGAAACTGTTGCATTATACTGCCACCTACAAGAAGATTTAGGTTGCCCATACACCTTAGGAATATCGGCCGATTTTCGTATGCAATCGCGTTTTCGTCCGATATTTGTAAGGTTGATGGGCAGTGTACAACCGCAAATACTGTACAATCGATCGACTTTTGACTAACCAGCGGGTTAGAAAACTTCGGTCGATCGTACGATTTTCACAAAGTTGGTGGCTTTTCCGTACCTCAAAATTCGTACGATTTACACTGCTCATGCGCAAACGAAAATACGTGTGGTCAATTACCACAATTCATCCAGGTGCTTTTTTTTTAAATGACTGCTGATTTGAACCTTGCAATAATCGGGACAAACAAATCAATGGCCAACCTGGTATGACCGACCGCTCCTATGCTCCCTGCATGCCTCTTTTTTTTTTTTTTTGCTTGCCGCTGTTTTAAGAGGATGGACGCCTTTTCCCACGATGCTTAAAGCTGACAAGTCGACACTCCGCAACATCCACCATTGCACATAGAAGACATACTTTGTTGGCATGAGGAAAGAAACTTCCAAGTGGGCCAAGTATCAAGGGCAGATCTCAGTGCTTGTGGTTGTTTCAGAGACTGCTGACTTTTCATTCTTTGTGCAGGGTGTCTTGTGATTCTCCCTGTGCGATCATCCATTATTATGTGAGATCTGCATTTGGTTCTCTTTGGCATTTCAGAAACCACATTTTGAACCTGTCATGCATATGGCCCTTTCTACTCTTATAATATGCGTTTCTTGTTGTCATCACCTCTGCGAGGTGTGTATCTGAGCTGGCAGCCTGGTCTTAAAGAACAGTTCTGGTTTTAAACAAGTGGTGTTGCGGCCTAGAGCCTCCTTCCTTACTAAGGTGGTTTCGACCTTCCTTCTTAATCATGACATTGTTCTTGCTTTCCCTTGATGGAGTTTTGAGCAAATACAAACATCCCTTTTTTTTTAAATGTATTTATTTAATGTACATGTAGATTTTCAAGGAAACAAGACATGACCTAACTTAAAACATTTCCAAACTGCTTCATTGAAGGTAACTTGGGCTCTCAACTTCTGCCGAGTTGGATGTTAAACTTTGACATTTCTCATTAAAGGGGGTTCTAAACCCTCTGTTTTTTTTTGCCTATATCTACTGCTAGCAAGCAGTAGATATAGGCAAAAAGTTGTTTGTTTTTTTAAACCCGCTTTAACAGCAGTTTACACTTACCGTGTTATTGCTGCGCGCTCCCGCCGGAAAATCTGGAACTGATGGAGCAGCCGCAAAGCATCTTGGGGCGGGCGCATCCGCAGTTCGGATTGTCGGCCGGGAGACGAGCAGAGACGCAAGGTAAGTCTATGGACGCGTACACCCGCATGCAGACACCGCTGGATCGGAAGTCCCTGCAGGGACAGAGGAGTCAGCGATGGATCGGAGAGCTGCCGCACCGCTGGAGGGACAGATGAAAACATCAGGAAAGATCGGATTAAGAGACATCGTTTAACGTGCTAACTGCTAACATTAACATATGGGGGGGGGGATTTAGACTTTAATGTCCCTTTTAAGGCCCCATTCACCCCAGGGAACGCACATAGCGGTCACCCTCGTTCCTGCTTGTGGGACTTGTTGCTCTGTTGGATTGCCGTTACCTAGTAATGGCAACGCATGCATATTCCGCATTTGTGCATGTATCCTGAACACCCCTTGAAGCGCACACATTTGATGTGCGTTCATGATGCACCTTGGTATGAACAGAGCCTAAACTGACTTTGGTCAACAGTAGGGACTCTGGCAATTAGCAGCTGAATGATTGTGCTGTAAAGGGAGCAGAGTTTAATCCAGACTTGGGAGAAGGCAGTGCCCCATGCACAGCTTGCGCCTATGACCTAAGGAGCTCTGTGGGAGCGCAGGGATCATCTGGTGATTAAAACAGGTATTTGCAGATACAACAGGTTGTCTGCACTTACACTGTCACCTTAGAAACATTTAAGACCGGTGAGGTTCTCTTAAAGCTACTCAGTCGATATGGACTGAAGAAATGCAGTAATTGTTACCTATTCCGCCAAACACGCTTTCAAGAACTAAACGTGCTGAATCCAACACCTGTTGGTGCACTGGATGCCTGGTTCCACTCTTCATGCTGTAGTTGCCTTTGCTGGCCCCCGACATCACTACTGTATCCTGCAGCAGCCAGTGGCAAGAACCAGGCATCCGACAATCCTGAAAGTGTCAGGTGCAAGAGATTCTTCAGCAAACTTAGCTCTTCTAAAAAGTGATAAACAGGGCAGGTAAGTATTAGTACTTTATTTTTATTATCTAGTGACAGTCTCCTTTAAGGCCAGGAATGCAGCTCCAACTGTACCTAAATGTTATACTATTTTTACATTTCTAACGTACATTAAAATTGGTCATCATGTTAGGGGCCAATTTATAACTGCCAGACATCGCCCTTTGGATTGTTCTGTAGTTTCGCTGTTCATATTCTGACTCTAATGTTTGTTTGTTTTTTTGCCTAGATCATGGAACTGAAGTGGCTACTTTTTGCGACCTTTCTAATTGTTGGGTCAGTAACAATAAAGGCACATGGCGGGGACCATCACCACCACCATCATGAACATGACCACGAGCATGACCACGAGCATGACCACGATGATGGATTAGACATAGATGATGATTTGGATGATATCATTGAAGGTGAAGAGTCAAAGCCAGAGACCAGCACTCCACCTCCTGCTCCAAAGGTGGGTCCCTTCCCTAAAACACCTCCTCTCTATGAAGTAGAGCAGAACGTGTAGTATTTTGTAGTCCTGTCCTAGAGTAACAATGTTACTCCCCATTAGATAGAGAATGTGCATCGTCTTCTAGGACAGATGGTGGTTTGCGTGCAGGATCGCAGATAAAATTAAGGCAAAAATGTCTGAGAAAACAAAACTAGTGCAGCCACCGCATCTATAGACTGAAAAACTGCAATATTTTTAATTTTTTTAGGTTTCTGGGTTCATGTTTTTGCTACAGATTAAACATCAACAGTAACCAAATGATCCGTGCTAGTTTGTGGCTGCCCAAATTAGTTTCAGATGTGCCACTTCTGTTTAAAATTTAGCCATCATGGGCAGCGGAGTGTTCTGTGGGAATCAACACTTTTCACTGTGCCTCCTTTCTCGTACTTGTCATGTTTAGGTGTCCCCATCTGAACCCCTTCTGGAAATAGCTTGTCTGGACCTTTCTTTGGCCATGTGTCATTGTGATGTAG